AATGATTTCTGAAGGATCATGTGTCACTGAAGACTGAAGCAGTGTTATTTTAGTATTACTGAGATACTATTATAGGTTTTATTCATATTTTGAATTATTTTTATATTTTGTTTTCATTTTATTTTTAATTGAAGTTTAGTCATTTTGTTGTTTTTGACTTAAAAATTTTGTCGATATAGGTTTTTATTTTTTAAAATCCAAAAAAAAACGTATTTTAAATTGTAATGATATTTCACAATATTACTGTTTTTATTGTATTTTTGCTAAAATAAACGCAGCCACGGTAAGCAAACATCAAAAACAAACAAAATAAATAAATAATCGCACAGACCCCAAGCTATATAATAACAAAAATGGATTGGTCCGTTTGAACTACTTTGAGAAAAGTAACAGGTACAACATGGCAACATCTATGTATAATAACACTGAGAGACTTATGCTGCATTCACGCCATGTCGTAATTACAGTGATTTCGAGATGACAACACGTGACGTTCTGCTCGGAGCTGTTCACACCCTTGGACTCGGAATTATCGCACTATCAATGCCTAAATATAGCACCCAATGAATCTGAGGTGGTCAGGTGGTAGTGGTACAAGTTGTAGCTCTCAGAAAACTCCCAGTTCACAATTGGTAATTACGGGTTCTACGAGGATGTGAATGCGTTTTACAAGTTGGAATCACGGTAATTACGATATGGCGTGAACGCACCTTTAAATCAAACATACACAAGGAAAAGTTAACGCGGTATAATTCAGCCAATTAGAAACTATATCTGGGCTATCACAGGATATTCATGATGGTTACCACTCTCTCACTTGTTCTGTCTCTATTGTATCCATTTGCATGTGGGAAACTGATATCTGAAAACCAGTCCTGAGCTTTTCAGAAATATTCCAGGTCATTGTTGATGTAGTGGATGTTTTCTGCTTTGTTGTAGGTTAAATTTAATCAAGCGCTGGCTGATCATTCCAAGACTGACAAACCCAGGCTCATCGATGGCATCGTTCTCACCAAGTTTGACACCATTGATGACAAGGTATGACTCCAGGATCCTTTTTCATGGCCTTTCTAAGGGTGTGTTCACACTTGTCATGTTTGGTTCGATTAAAACGAACTCTGGTGCGATTGCTCTGTTAGTGCGGTTCGTTTGAGTAAGTGTGAACGCTGCCATCCGAACCCTAGTGCGCACCAAACAAGCGGACCGAGGCCACTAATAAGATGGGTCTCGGTCCGCTTCCAAAGGAACTCTGGTGAGGTTCGAATGAAATATGAACACAACACGCACCAAATACTTCTAAACGAACCAAAAACAGGAAGTAGTGACAAGATGCGACGCTATGCGACATGATTTGACGACGCGATGTAACCAAAACAAAATGAGCAGAGGGCAAACGTGGAGCAACGATGAGGTAAAGTGCCTTTTATGAGCTCCTTTGTTTGCAGGTGATGAAAATAAAATTATATGTACACGCAAGAATGAGCGCACTTACTCCAGCAGACGGCATTAGGTGTGTTCGACTTAAAGCGGCGCTGAGCAGGCCGATCGGTTAATGGGTGCTTTGATATCATACACCCGCAGCGCCGCTTTAAGTCTAACGCACCTTTTGTTTGGGGTGTTCGGTGAGTTCCGTCACGATATATACGTCATTCAAGCCGACCAATCAGGTTGTGAACGTATCACTATGCCTTTAGGTTCGCTGTCTTTAGGTTCGCTGTCAAAAATGCCAATGTGAACGCTAAGCGGACCAGGACCAAATGTATCGTTTTCCTTTTTGGTCCGGACCAAATGAAGCAAACGAACCGAACTACAAGTGTGAACACCCTAACAGTTTCAAGTAATGGATCTTGGTTAGGAGAAACTCCACATTGTTTCCTGTAGGTGGGCGCTGCCATCTCCATGACCTACATCACAGGTCAGCCCATCGTGTTTGTGGGCACCGGGCAGACGTACAGCGACCTGCGCAGCCTCAACGCCAGGGCTGTGGTCAGCGCGCTCATGAAGGCCTGAGATGCACCACCCACAAGACCTGCCTCTGCTGCTCCAGCGACGGTTTTGCTACAGCTAGATATGAGACCCTGTGACCCTCTCAGCTTCCCGTGAATGCAGACATTTTGCTTTCCTACAGGTTTAACTGAAATTCAGTTCATATTTAGGATCCTCGTGTTTTGTTCCAGGAAAAAAAAAAAAGTGTTTCAGTTTAATGAGTGGAAGGAATATCATTTGGCTTGATCTCACCTAAGCAACCATTTCTGATTGACATGCAATACAGCCAATCAGACAGCAGTGGTTTGGGTTTCATTTAAATAACGAGAAGGAAAGTATTTTTGCACTTTTCCACATCTGTTCTCTACGAACAAGTGTTCTTGTACTTTCTGCCCACCCAAAAAAAGATGGACTGAGGTGTTACTCAAATGTTATAAAAGATATATAATATATTCTAAATCTATTTTGTCTACTTTTTATTTGATTAATGTAGGTACATTCAGATGATGGCCCAGCAACCCAAACACTCTCATGAAATCACTACCATAGTGCCTCAGCTCATTACATTAGCTGTTGTTCCCAAAACAATTCTGAGCAAACGCTGCCTTTTCTCATTCTTCCTTTTATACTCAGGCTTTTCATGTCTCTGGAGATGAAAAGTATTATAAGGTATTGTAAGGTTTGGTGCTTGAGGTTTGAAGGCACCTCAGCAAAGAGTTCTAAAATGCTGCGTATACCAAACTGTCTGAAGCCCTACGAAGTTACATATTTGTTTTAATTCATTAGTGACTGTACTGCCATCTTCTTTTCTTTCAGATCCCTACGCCCTTTTATTTTAGAACAAAGTCAGGTCTTAATTCTCTTTCACCTCATGTTAATTTGCGCTAGCACAATGGCAAGACTGGAGAGCTTCATAGAGATTTGTTGTACTTTGAGAATGTGTAATATTTCTTAAATAAAGCTGCTATAATAGCTTGTAATGACGTGTCTTGTTTGGTACTAGTAGTTCGTAATTGTTTCCTATACTTCTATTCTCACCAATGCTGAATTCTGTGGAAGCCTGTTTTTCTGCCACAGGAAAAAAAAAATTGAACTGCGACTTTTTATCTCAATTCAGACTTTTCTTGCAATTCTGAATTTGAAAATGTCAGAATGGCAAGATATAAACTCAAAAATTCTGACTTTTTTTCTCACAATTCCAAGTTTCCATCTCAAATGTTTTTTTCCCCCCTATTAATTCTCTTTTACCTCTAGCAATTCTGTATATTTATATTCTCAGTTGCGAGGAAAAAAATTAGAATAGTGAGAGAAATTCAGAATTGGATTAAAAAATTCAGAAACATTTAATTCCATGGCGAAACAGACTTCCATAGAATTCACATTCCATATATCATTTCTACAGAAGTAATACAAAGAGGCATGTCTGTTGTTTTGCAAAAACAAACATAACCTCATGATTGGTGTAATTTTTTAAAATCTTATGAATCAAAAAGAATTACAAACTGGTGACTTATCGGTTTAAATCAGTTTAGTCACCAAATCTAGCAGGGTGGTTACTGAACTACTGTAACAGCTGTTTATGACAGCGTACAGTCAAACATTTTCTCAAAAGTACTGTTTTTGCACAGCTAGAATAACCAGAAGCGGATGACACCGGAAGTCTCGCACATTCAAGTTACAAATGGCAGCTATCGCTTGTACTTTAAAAATAAGGTGGGTAGATGTAATTCCTGAAAACATATTCACTGCAAATTTGGTACCAAACAGATGCTTTATTTTAAAATAGCATTATAAATACCTAAAAGACATTTGTGGACAGAGATGATAAAACCGTGGACCACTGGAGTTAAAATACAAAAGGTTTATAAACAACTGTTTACATTTCTTTTTACTGACCAAGCATTTACAACTAGAAATGGGGACTAACTGTCAGTGTCAAAGTGCAATAAAATGTATTGAAAGTTGTGTAGCTTGAGAGGATTGATGGCATTATATCATTATCCTCATTATTAGTCTCGTGACAAGTTCAAGTAGATTCATGGAAGCGGAGATGCTTCTATAAGTAAAGCCTGAGAAATCACATGAATTTTGATTCACACCTCAGTCACCCTAACGAGGTGTTTATTGCATTTCCTCCTCCTTACAGGACAGATTTAGTAATAAAAGAAATGTCCAGAGTCATATTTCACCCAATAGAGCTGTGTGTGTGTGTGTGTGTGTGTGTGTGTGTGTGTATACTGTATATGGAAGCTTCCACAACAGAAAAAAAACAAAAAAAAAATTGTAAAAAACTGCAACTTTTTTCTAACAAATATGACTTTTTTTTCTTAGAATACTAAGTGTACATCACATTTCTGTATACTGTAATTCTCACAATACTGTATATGGAATCTTGTTTCTGCCACAGAATAAAAAATGAAAAAGGTTATCTTGCAATTCTGACTTCTTTTCCTGCATTTGCGAGTTTATATCTAACATTTCAGACATTTCTTAGAATAACAAGCGTGTATCTCGCAATTTTGAGGTTTTATCTTGAAATTCAGACTTTTTTGTTAAAATTGTGAGGAAAAAAGGTGAGATACTGTGTCAAAAAGTCACGATGAGAATTTGTGTGAGTGTGTATATACAGCATCGCTTTTTGTTGTTTGTAAAAATTGTTTGCAAAAGTCATGAAAACTACATTTTATTAAAATCACTATTTTAATTCATTATACAGTACAGCAAATGATATCATTAAACAGAATTGTACTGTACTATGTAAATAGTACAATTTTTTTTTTTTTACAGAAATGAGAGATTTTTCACATTACCGTAATCAGAATTTGAAGTTGGGCAGTGTTTAAATGTAATAAAAACAATGTCACAAAATGTATAAATAAATATATATATATATATATACACACACATACATATACATATATATACATACATATACACATATATGTATATATATATATATATACAAACACACACACACACACACACACACACACAGAGACAGTTATTTAGGGGTGAAATATGACATGGACATTTCACACAATGACCATTTAAATATTGCTGGTGTATTTACTGTTGTGAAAAACGGGAAGTGAGACTGCATTGCTAAAACGCTCCTGTTCAGCTGTTTTGGTATTTAACAGCTCATGTTTAAGGTCAGACTGGTCCTGAACATCATTCTTGGTCCACAACTTCACTTAAAACCACATTTAAAAAAAATTATATTTCTCCCTCACTCGCATGAAGAGTTTCATAAACATTTTCCGAGTTGCAGGAGTTCACAGTTTGCTTAGTGGTACTTTTACTCACGCCTTTCCCGTGTGAAGCGGACGAGTACTGGCAGCGCTCGGTTTTAGTATGAGAAAATGAGTCTGTTGTGCGTGAAGATCTAGTCATACCAGATCCGAGCGGAAGGGGGCGGCGGAGCTGTGGAAACGTTCCCAGACTGCCACTTGTGTCACGAGTGGAAGTCTGGACAGGGAGAGAGGAAGAGCTACAATGAAGATCTCGTTACAACAATGCGCATCAGCTGATTTCATCATGGGAAGCCACGGGTGCAGAGGAGTACAGTGGGAAGGTGAGTATAAAACAACAACAGAAGCCCTTGTGCTGCATTCATGTTTCTATCGTTCTAGAAGCATGCACTGAAGGAAAGAAGGGAAAAGGAAAAAACGCGTGGTCATGCTCCAGTCAAATGCCCAAATTGCCTTTAGCATGCAAGCTGGTTGAGGTGCCAACACAAAAGCCGTCCTAACCTTGCAGGAGGTTCTTCTGGGTCGTAAAGCCATTTTGACTTTCTTCGCCTTGTGAGATGGGAGATCCTGAATCAATCCAGCAAATGAATCAGTGAAAAAACACATCAGTTGTACGTAACATATCTAAATAGTGAAGACAACTTACCCCAGCCATTGGTCACCACATCCCGGTTGCAAATCTCATTGGCCAGTCGTTCGAAGTACTCTGGCAGGTCGGCGTATTCATTGCCGTACGAGATGACCTTGATGCCCTTGTCCAGCATGTTGTCTCGGAGCTTCTTGAATTCTCCCACGTCCTCTCGCCGCACCAGCATGAAATGCTCAAGGTCGGACTTGTGTTTGACCGCCTCGAGAAACAGTGCCTGGAAGGTGGTGTCGTCCACTGTCCTCCCGCAGCCCAGGAACACGAAAGACTTGGTTTCATAGAGTTTCTGGATCTCCCTCTGCAAAAACATGCAACAATGTAATAACTGAAGTGATGGACTGATATGATGATTTTCCATACACTTTGAATACATGCGAGTCTACTCATAAAAAAATAAAAAGAAATACTTAAAATTTAAATGTACGTTTTAAAGTAAAAATTATCTTTACGTATATCATGAATTATTCATTTAAAAATATCAATCATTTTTCAGTTTTTAAACCTGAACTACCCTTGCCTTTAAAAGATCAGATTATCTGATATTTTGACAGAATTATTAATCTTGACACACAATCATGCAGGGGTCTCTGTGATATAATTAATTTTATTCTGCATGTTAGTCTCACCACATGACTTTGGTTTGGTGAACAAAATTTATTCACATATTAGTAGCAAATGCAGAAGTTAAAAATGTATATGTTAATTATTTTAATAAAAAATTATGCTAAACTTTCTTTTTTTTTTTCTCTTCATTTTGTATCACTATATGATTGGGGGGGGGGGGCCTTAATTTCTGATAAAAATCGCAGTTGTGATTTAAAACACTATTTTAAAAAAATCCAGCTTTACAATTTGTAAAGTTTTGTGATTATATATCAGTATGACTAATAATAAAATAATAATAATAATACATACGTATATAATATTTTACATTTTATTATTTTTTTAGCATTTATTATTATTATTATTATTATTATCACAATTATTACTATTAATACTACTACAACTACTAAATAAAAATAACAATAACAAAAAATAAAATAAAAAAGGAGCATTTAAGAAAAGTAATATTTTTAAAGTTACATTACTAATATTTTTTGGTGTCTTTATTTCATTTTCAAACGTTAAACCACAGGGAGCCCTTAATAAGCACAGTGCCACACTTCACTTTGAAAAACACAGCACATTTACTTCAGTAAATTCCAATTTGATAATCGCACTGAGCATATCGCAATTTTGGTTTTATTTCAATTAATCCCTATGTATCACCCTGACATTTTTGACGTTATGCCCCGAAAACATCAAAATGAATATGAATTCAGACATTAAAACATGTTCATCATAGAAGAGGTGTATTCAATGTATATGAATTGCATTTTTAATGCATTTTTTAATAAATTAACTGATCTAGACTAAAAAACTGCATTATGTCATAGACCAGGGGTGTCAAACTCAGTTCCTGGAGAGTTTGGTTCCAACCCTGCTCCAACACACATACCATGTAGTTTTCAAAAAAGCCTTAAGAACTTGATAAGTTGAATCAGGTGTGTTTAATTAGGGTTGAATCTAAACTCTGCAGGGCTCCGGCCCTCCAGGAATTGAGTTTGACACCCCTGTCATAGACCATCATAACATCATAAATTGTTATGCTGCTTTTATCAGCATCATATAAACTTCATATAATGCTGTCATAACAGTTTGTATTTGGGTAAATTATTATAAGGACTGGACAGTGAGCAATAAAAACTGCCACAAAAGGGAGTATCTCTTCAGCCCAGAATGCTTTGGTTCACAGTGTCCTCCACCCTAGTGAATTATCAACGTTCCATTGGTGTGACTTTATTTTCTCATGAGAGCAGAAAACATTCACTCACCATGACTTCTGTGTTCCTCAGAACGTTCTGGTAGCCAGCAGGATGCAGTACAATGCCGCTGGGGTTGGTGTAAACACCGTGAATATGAAGTACGCTCAGTCTTCTCTTCTCCTGAGCCCACTCCAGAACCTGCACACACAAGTACAGCGCGGCATCTCATACTCCACTGCTCCCAATCCGGCTCCCACTAGGAGCGTCCAGCTGCTTTTAATGACTGCAGGTTCTAATCAAGAGACATCTGATGGAAAAGGTGCATAAACACCCTGCCTAAAGGCCACGCTATGGAAAACCACACACGGCCTGATGAATAAAGACACAGGGAACTGAACATGCAGTCACTTGTGTTTCCGAGGGCCCTTCAGGTGAGCTGCTGTACAGCTTACATGCACTAATGCACTACATGACGCTTGGCCAGAGACCATAAGGCTGATTTTATGGCTAATAGCTGAAGCTTTCACTGCTTTGTGCTGAAGGAAATTTATGGCCAAACACAAACAGAGATGAACCCAATGCACTGAACATCTGAGGAACAGCGTTTCACAGCTTTATTTCAAAGCACACATTGTTTTTAGTTTAAGCTTAAAGCAACTGATGATCTGACGATGGGTCCTCATGGTCTCTTCTTCAAATGTTATTTATCAGTGACTTTTATGAGACATAATGCAATTCAATCATAGAATAAATAATTGTGCTATATATATGACGTCACATTGCTGATGGACTTTCAGGTCCCAATGACCTGCCGACAAAAACTTTACAATTTTGAAGTGTTTTATATCGATATTGAATGATTTCTGAAGAAGACTGGAGTAATAATGCTGAAAATTCAGCATTGCACCATAGGAATAAATTACATTTTAAAATATATTCAAATAGAAAACAGTTATTTCAAATTTGTTTGGATGGATGGATGGATGGATGGATGGAATCCAAAATGAAAAGTTAGACATTCACTATTCAAATGGTTAGTGTCCAATAAGGCAGTCTGAACTGTAATGCTAATTCACCTCATTTATACAGAAAACATAGCTGGTACCTTCTTCTCATCTGTGAGATCCAGAGACTCCAGCTTGGTCCCTTGGTGGGCAGCGTAGATCTCTAGCAGATTGTCAAAGTTGGTGGTGAGGACCAGAGCGCCACTCTCCATTAACTGCAGCACGGAGCGAAGGAGATGCTTCCCAGCGTTCTCCATCTTACACTCCAAGTCATCAAACACCTCGTAGAGGCAGTCTTTAAAAAAGGTGGAGCGTACATTTCCCGTCCGCTACAAAGAAATTTGACAAAACAAATCAAATCAGGGGTTTGCTACTATGAATAGCTTGCAGAATCCACTTTCTTAGGAAGAGGCTGATTATAAGCACCTCCACACCTGATGTGAACTAATGCCTCTGATCTCAGTGGTGTAAATGTCTTTCAACTGTTTACACCTGGTATTAACCTCCGTCTCAGCATCTGATCATATGCGCTCAGCATTAAATACAGATGTAAAAGGGGTCCAAAACTTTCTTATATCAAACCACTCAAATAAAAATTTTTCAGGGCTCCAGACTACACCTAAAACAGTTGATTTGAGAATAAAAATATTAATATGCAAATTATATTTTTACCAAAATCACCACTGGTGAAAATATGATTTTATATGATTTTAAAAAAATGCATGTCATGTCTTTTTAGTTGTATGTTCTGTGAGGAGTAATCTATTATATAATTGTTGTGTTGATGCAATAAAATGAGACGATGAGCATGAAAGTTTCAGTGGAGAAAAAAGAATAAAAATGATAATGCTGTAAAAGGAAGGTAGACATACACAAATGAGGATGAGAATGGACTTTAGAAAAATAATTTGGTGGTTGTTTTTTTTCTCATAGGAGCATTGGCTCCTTAAAGGAATAGTTCACTTAAAAATGAAAATTTGATTAAAATGTACCCAACCTCAGGCCATCCAAGATGTAGATAAGTATGTTTCTTCACAAGAGAAATTTAGCATTACATCGCTTGCTTACCAATGGATCCTCTGCAGTGAATGGGTGCCGTCAAAATGAAATAGCTAACTGTTTCTTACAAACATGCAGCTTTTCACTTCCCAAGACATTATTTGATGGACTGGAGTAATGACGATTACTTGTTGATTATTGTGATGTTTTTATCAGCTATTTGGACTCTCATTCTGATGGCACTCATTCACTGCAGACAAAAAAAAAGGTGTGAAAATGACATATGATCTTATCCCTTACAGCCTTGTTTTCATCTGTGCCAAATTCAATATTGTGTCTACCCTCACTAAGGTCTATTGATTTTTTTTTTTCTTTGTCTGGAGCCGTGATTTGGGTACTCATGAAAAATGACAGCATTGAGCAACAAGCATTCAGAAATGAGATGAACATGCAATCATTCTTGGAAAGTTGTGGACTTTTTTGTGCTCATCAACATAGTAGCGCAATAACATTGATGCCTGAATCAAAAAAGCAGTCTGAATGTCTCAAGCATGACTTACATATTCATGCCCAAACATGTCAAAGTCCAAATGTATTTTGGCATCCACTGACTTGCTGCAAACATTACAAAGAATGCATAACTAAAGAAATACGTAATGCCGAAGCTGAATGGACTAGCGTCTAGTCACAGCATGTTGTTCTGGAGGTGTGAATCCTTGACACGTTCAGATTAACCTAATTTTTTGTGCCACTGGGGTCTGCTCTGCTCATGTGAGACTCAAAACTCACAAGTAGGTTAAATCACTGAAAGACCTCACACTAACAACAACAAATAAACCGAGCTTGGAAATTCACTGGGATAGAGACAGACAGCAGGCTGATGTTTTTCTAGGAGAGTTGTTTTGTTGATGTTTATTGTTCAGCTATGACCATTCCAGGTAATGAAACCCCAGCACTGGAGCTGAAATTCATTACCTAACTCCCTTTCACAGGCCTAATGCCATCTAAATCCTCTAGTGACACTGATGGGTTTGGATGCAAATGATACTGGGGCTTTGTCAATGAAAAACAGGGATAAATCACTGAGTGCTGTTCTGACGGAGCGACAAAAAAAACACTGGTGGCACGTGGTTCTACGCCCCATTTTGTCTGGAAAGAAAGAAAGGGACTAATGATGGCCAAACTCATCGTTGTGCTCTGCGGTCCATGCATTGCCTAGCATTGTCCTAATGGATCAACATGTTTATTAGGGATCAACAATACAGATTTTTTTTTTTCAAGATTTTTCCTTGCCCTGACAACTTTTCACTAATCACAGAAACTGAAACATTGGCATAGCCCATCAGCATCAGTCGAAGCAGCACGTGAACCAACCATTTCTTCCTCTTTACTACTGGTTATTGCACAAAATAAACAAACATGAGAAGGTATGTTAAAAGAAACAGTAAAACATACTGAAATGTTTCTTGTAATTGCTCAATCGGTGTTTCAAGATTAATTAATATAAATATTTCAATATTTCCAGTTGTTGTTTAATATTATTAAAGAACAATGAACTGGAGTAGAAACAATTATATCATTAAACATAAAAACTGCCTTATGTGCAATTTAAATTTTTGTATACAAGTAGTAAGAAAATGAAAAAAACATCTTACCGGTGAAAGTTTCTGGATAAGGTCATGAGCAACATGCACCAGGTTTTTGTCCTCTTGCAGACTTTTCTGGAAGCGGCGGCTCTCTTCCTCCTCAAGCAAATCAAAGTCATTGGCAGCATCTAGCAGCGCCTGGATCAGACCTTTCCAGGAGCGTAATGCGGGCACTTGAGGAGCTACGGCTGAACTCACCCCCGTGCCAATCACCAGCACAAGCTCAGGGGCGCGCTTGGTCTTCAGGCTGGGCAACAACTTCCTACTCAGCCGAGGAGGAGGAAATGTAAACAGGTCAGAGGAAACATGCATACGGATGGAACTACGCTACAGAGTTGCATGCAAAACATGGTTTAAAACGGACTTTAAAAATATGATCTAAAACTTTTAAACAATCAGTAAAAGGAGGTCCTTAACTATCAGTAAAATGTCGACGTCATGAGATGTTTTCTATTTATTAGTTATAAGGTTGGTGATTTTTGCAAACTGTTAACTAAACTGTTGGACATGTCTAAATGCAATTAAAACCCCTGGTTTGTGTGACTTTTTTTATGTGTTTAAAAGTATGTTAGATACTAGTTTATCTTCTCACAACAACGGCATGGGATTTGTCTCTCTAATTCTTTCAAAATCTGTCTCATCCAATGCTTAAAAGGGAACACAAAAGAAGGTATCGTTTCTTTTGTGTTTTTCTGCGGATCACAAAAGAAAATATTTTGAATAATGTTGGTTTCAAATCCCATTGACTTCCAATGTATGGAAAAAAAAACTACAATGGAAATCAATGGGAACCAAAACTGTTTGGTTACCAACTATCTTTAAAGGGGTCATAGGAAAACTTGAAATCGCATCATATGACCCCTTTAAAATATCTTGTTTTGTGTTCCACAGAAGAAAGTAAGTTATACAGGTTTGGAATGACATGAGGGTGTGTAAATGATGACAGAACATTTTTCCAAAGAATAGGAAAAGGTGAAGTTTTTCTTATCAGGAAGTACAGGTCTTTGAAAAATCACACGTTCATCAGAACAAGTCAGCAAACAGGAGCTGACTTCAATGAAAAATATTTGGCTCGCCCTGGGAATGTGCTGGCAGCAAAGCAAGACACGAACATCTGTTGTTTTCATACCTAGCCTTCTTAGCCACTGTGTCGCCATCCGCAGAGTCATGGGAAGGACGCTTCTCTGTCTTCACTGTAACAACAGAGGCCATTCGACTCCTGAGAAACAAAGATCCCCAAGTACAATTCATTTATAAAGCAACACTATTGACCAAAAGGCTATACAACAGATGACAGACAGACAGACAGACAGACAGATAGATAGATAGATAGATAGATACAGATAGGATTCATTTATACGCAATACTACATAGTATTACACAGTTTTATAACATAATTTCACTATATATAAACCTAGTGAATTTAAGATTACTGTTGTTAGTAGGAATTAATTAGACCAATGTCAAGTGCTCATTTAGAAGGTTAATAAAGCTTAACTGAATTAATTGTCCTTTGCCATCTTGACACTGAAAGAGATTTACTCTCCTGTGTCTGGAGGAACAGGTTTCAGAGGATTTACATACTCATGATGCAAGGAAGAAATCTGAAGATGCTGCAGTGATTTGTTGTAAATACTTCACTCAGGAGCTAAAAGATGTTAGGGCATATCTCTTTTCTTTGTTTTTCTTTCAAAATCATGCCAGACAGATTCGGGTGCACATAAAGGGCCCAAAAAATCAATCATAACCTAACAACAAACACTGACCAGACATCCTCGAGCTAGCAAGCTAACAGGCTAGCTACAGCTGTATTTTTAGCGCCAAATAATCAATTATAAACTAATAACTTTATTTTCTGTTAATCTTTGAATCCAATCCATTACGAGTACTAATAACATAATTATTATTATATAACATGTTTTGGTTGTTTTAGCGGGGGCGTTTACTTGAAGCCTTCAGTCACCTGTTGCTTTTGTTCCATATGTGATACAACACAGCTTTAGCATGCAGGCTGATATTACACTATTGTCTATATGGATATTATTTAATCTCCGAACTTCAAGACTAATAATAATAATAATAAATTGTATACTTTAAGCTACAATTTGTTCAACTGGGAAGGCGAGATAACGGGAAAGAGGAGATTTAACGTACGTTACCAATCCGCTAAATTTCATCAAACGACTAAAATAAAGTAACGACAAAAAGGGTCTTAAAACACGACTTACCCAGATGAACAGAGGAAAAAATTAGGATCCGAATACTTTCTTAAAATTGCTCGAGGCGTTTACTAATGATAAAACAAAACACTAAAAGCAAACTCTCTTTTTTTATCGAACAAACTCTGAAGCGGCTTCCTATATAAGATCTCTGTATCAGTAGGGTATCAGTGCCTGTCAGCCTTCAGAGTCCAAAATACTGAAGCCTTGAATGAATCAGTTCAGCCTTTAGAGAAGTACCTGTCCACAGACTTTCCTCTGCGAATCCTTCTGTACACAAGCTGAGGCTTTACATGAGTAACGGATGTGTGCGTGCCCCCGCGTGCGTCTGGGACGTGAAGGTTTAATCCGCCAGACTGATACAGTCACACACACACACACACACACACACACACACACACACACACTTAAACCTAATAGTCGACCAGAGTAGTAATTTACATTTAAAAAGCTCCAATTAATAATTTACGTTTTTTTCTAGCTTTCTACCTTGATTCTGTAGGCGGCTGTTCAAATTCATGGCTGTCTGTTGAACTAATCATCGTGTGCATTCGCTTTCTTTGTCGTCTTCTCTTGTGCTTTTCTCCATTGGTCTCTTTTTTTTTTTTCTCGCTCTCACTCAACTCTGCGATTGGTTTCACCTTTCCGTGTCTTATTAGTCTGTACCAGGCCTCTCTTTGCTTTTCTAAATATTGTGCCCTTCTTGAGGGATCAGCATCCCGTCGAGCCCTGTATCTTCGCTGTCTCTCTGCTGCTGACATCTATGGAAATCATGGAAAGTGTTGATTATTTACTTTTTTTTGTACTTTACTGGAGATACCGTTCAAAATTAGTTGTCAGTAAGAAAGGATACATTCAAGAGACAATAAAGGCATTTATAAGATTTCTATTTCAAATAACTGCAGTTCATTGAACTTTCTATTCATCAAAGAATCCTGAATAAAGTGTATAAATGTTATGTTTTACATAAAGCAGAAAATCAGCATATCAGAATGATTTCTGAAGGATCATGTGACACTGAAGACTGGAGTAATGATGCTGAAAATTCAGCTTTGCCATCATAGGAATAAATTACATTTTAAGATATATAATTCAAATAGAAAACGGTTTCTGTTCATTCCAATAATATTTCACAAATCTTACAGACCCCACTATGAACAGTAATGCAAGTTACACTCAAACTATGACAAGTATAGTTAGGCTTAAACATAATAACAAATTATACTGATACAAGTCTATGACTAACATAGTTGACAGGTAGCATAGTTGACATTCTAGTCTTATTTTTGGTCAGACACATGACATTTTTTTTGCATAATAACATACTATAATGTAATCTCACTATATGAACTATTATCAATGAAATATTAAAGAAAATTAGCATCCACTTACCAAACTATTGCTCAGTTACATGGCGGTGTTGTATTAGTAACTTAGTTGACAACAGTAAAGCGAGATATTTAATCATGTTGATAACAGAAGAAATATTATTATTGTGTATATATTAAATAATATTGTATATTGGATAAATAGTGTTTAATGTTCTGCCCTTTGGTAAAAATCTGATATGTTTACAAAACATTTAGAAAAAAATCATTAAAAATTGTATTGTTTTATAAACATAATATAATATAATAATTTATAGCATTTGCAAACATGCAACTCAATGGCAGATGGCTGAAGAAAGAGCTCAAGTCTGTAAGTTGCTTCTTTTATAGCGGTTCAGTCTCAGTGAAAGTAGGATATGTTCCCATTCAAATGCTGTCTACAATAAAAAAGTTAATGGGTTAATAGCAAGGCATGCTCTTATTCTGGAGAGGTCATGATGTGCCTGTGGTTAATGAAGCTTTACGTTTTTTTATAGCTTGTTGCGCAGAGACAGGAGAGCATCCTTATTTTCAGTACCTTCTTCCTCTAGTGTTCTCTCTTTTCACCCACTGGCCATGTATTTGATTGCTTCTCACTGACTGCACATGAAAATCAACAATGTAAATTAAACAGGTAACTCTAGTTAATAGGATTTTGGGATCAGACAAGTCATGAGTGTGTTTATCTTTATAAATCTGCAGTGATTTCTGGGCATGAGCAGATGCAAAAGTGATGGCCTTGCTGTTTTTTGTTTCTAGGGATTTGGAGGTGACATACTTAGAGTCCTATCAGACTTTTTTTTTCCAAATTCTTCAGAATGACTTTAACACGGTTAGTATTTACTACTAGCTGATGAATGATTCCTCATGGGTTAGTAGATGCATAGTTTGTCTGACAGAGCCTGACATCTAGTGGTTCATGTCTTGAGGGAAAAAAAAAAAACAATTGTAGGACTGTTCTTTAGAGATTTTATTACATCAACAAATGTTGATCAATTATGTAGCCATATCCAAATGGTCATTTTGTGGGTGATGCTGAAGTGATCAATCACAAACCGAGGAGAGGCATTATGGTATATCCAGGTGTGATACTGCAGCAAAAACAGGACTGCATTTCCAAGTATTTGTTCGGATATTACTTTGGTTTAGATTGATATTTCTAGATAAACAAACATTTGATTCATTATTTAGTGAAATATTAATATCCAAAATAGCTGCAGATGCCGTTCTTTGAAAATTATTTCTAGCAAATTTGATTCTGAACAAGATCAGTTTAACATTCAGTAATTACAGGCACTCCACTGTATAAAGCAGAAAAAATTCAATCCTGCAAGCTTTTACACAACACAAGCAAGTCTTCCATTATTGCATTAGTGTTATGTCATATATAGTCATATATTCTTAATGTGAGTTTCAAAAATAATATTTCAATCAAAATTTACTGGACCATCACACTGTTAATCTTGAAATGGATTCAGATTTTTCTAGTATTTTACAAAATGTTGTACAGAGTGAAGCCACTGTGCTTGTTCCTTTTCAGCTCAATGAAAAAAGTACTTGCAAAAAATGTCCAAGCTCACATTTCAGCCCGAAATAGTACAGTAATGAGAATATTTATAAATATATATTTTTATTACTGTACAATGTAATATTACATACTGCCCAGTATGTAACTTTTTCCAAATTAGCATAATTTAAAGAACAAGAAATACTACCACTGTATATAAATACTTTTTAAAATACAATTTAAATAATTTATCATTATTTTCTCCCTTTTTTGTTTTAAGGTAATGAGAGTTGGGGGGAAATGTTGTCATACGTGAAAAAAATCATAATGATCCGAAACACAGGCTTAATTTTCTTTAAACATCATATCATTTACTTATTTTTTTGTTTTGGGATGAACTATGACCGAGACATGTTCTTGAGAGTTTTGCTTTGAACATTGTATTAGTCACAACATAACATCAGATATGTTGCTTTGATCTCTGTTCAAAAAACAGCTGAAGGGTGTGTGTCTTGTGGTATATTTTAAGCATTACAACACAAGAAAGACTTTGGGTATCTAGGCAGGATAGTGCACAGTGTTTCTCTCTAAACTGAGATTGAACCTTCCCTGAAGCTGGTCTTTCCGATCAGAACGTTCAGCAGAATGGCCTTTCCCTCTCTGCACTCCTTCTGTGCCTTTTTAAAGATGTCATCAAGTTGCGACTCATCCTCTCGGCCAATCAGGTAACCTTTGCCCCCATAACCATCGGCTACAATATGATAATCTGTAAGCAGAACAGCATGTGATGCAACTCATCACTATGAATGATCAACATACAATATTTCCCTTTGGAAAAGAGCTTAATCATAATACGAAACATTTTTGTGGATCAGAAGACAACATTTTACTGCAGATTCTAAACATAGCATTGACATTTAAACATGCAGTGAACAACCATTTAATGACTGTGCCAAAGCCTCTCACCTGTAAAAGCAAGACCACAGGCTACGTTGCTCCCGAGCATAGGCACTTGTTCTCTGGAGATCTGACTCCAGCATGCATCATTTCCCACCAGAGCGATCACTGGGGTCTGACGTGAGATGACAAGGGAGTCGTTACAAGTTTTCAAGAGAAAAGCAGATAGAAGCCACAGCGAGGATGTTTTTGAAGGCATATTCCAGGTTTCCACAGAAAATATCCAAGTTGGTTATAACAAACAAAGTTACAATGTAAATTTTGTTCTTCAGAACACAAATGAAAATATTTGTAATATTCTCTTATGATTTTATCATTCCCTCCATTGAAAGTCTGTGAAGACATAAACTTAATCCATATCAATCAACTGGTGTAATCCAAGAGAAACAAACGCTTCAAATAACGAACAGATTTCATTTATGCTTTTATTCACATATAAATATTGATCAACGCACATACATTCTTGCGCTCATTTGAGCTTCTGCAAGAACCACTGAGGTTTGTTCTTGAGTGTCAAGCATATACGGTTGAGCTGCCGTTGAGCTTTGTTGATCAATGTACTGTATAAAGCCTAAAATAAATCCGTTCATCACATAATGTGGTGGTATCTCTTATAAAGACTTGGATTAAACTGCTCAATTCATATGGGTTACTTTTATGATATCTTTATGAACTTTTTGAAGTGCCAAAGTTTCAATGGACTTTCAGTGCATGGATAGAAATCTCTTAGTTTCGTCATTTCAGGCATCTTCATTTGTAATTTGAAGATGAACGAAAGTCTTATGGGTTTGGATGACCTAGACAAGGTTAGCATTTTTACAAAACACACATTTTTTTAATACATTCTGAACTTGATGCTGTAAAAGTTACAATCAGTGCTGCAAGGGCTTGTTACGCATGTTAAAGTTGCTACCTTGTGGCGTGTGAAGGTATCAAATTCAGCCACGCTATATCCGAGGGAACCATCGCCGTAAACGATCCATACCTGTCAACAAGATATTGGCTGTTTACATGCACCCCAAAAACGTGACTAAGGCTGTATTGTGACTAAACTGGTGCTCTGAATGAAAAAAAATTATTTAAAAGGGTCATATGATGCAATTTCAAGTTTTCCTTTCTCTT